TGAGCCGAAGTCGGCCACTTAACCAACTGACCCACCTAGGCACCCCCAAAATATTTTATTTTTAAGTAATCTCTACACCCAATGTGGGGCTCAAACTCACAGTCCCGAGATCAAGAGTCTCATGCTCTACTGACTGAGCCAGCCAGGTGCCCCTATTTTCAACTTTTTGAGGAACCTCCATACTGTTTGCCTGCGTGGCTGCACCAATTTGCATTCCCACCAACAGTGGATGGGGATTCCACTTTCTTCCCATCAATGAGTGGATTTTGAAAGGCCAGATACTACTCTGTTTTGGAGCAGCGAGCTCTGAGGAACACCAGTTGGTAAGGACATTGTGGGCCAAGCTGGAGTCTATCCCAGGTTTTCCAGTTCTTTCTCCAGGCAGAATTTCTCCATCCCTCCCTCCAGTACATCTCAGAGGGTCTCCATTTCAGCTGCACTGGGAGGGGAGGGGAGGGCAGGAAGCAATGCTTCCCTGGAGGGCTGAGTGACTGGGAGGATTCAGCCACTCAGAGAGCTGGCCCTCTGGCTTTTCTCTGCATCTCAGGCTAGCCATCGTCCCTGGACCTTGAAAACTAGCACCACTGCTTTGTTTGAACGTTGACTTCCTCCACTTTCCTCTTGTATTCTTGGCTAGATTATTTCATCCCATCCTCACTTGTCCCCAGTCTGCCTGTTTGTGGTCACTTGGAGATGCCATCCAGACTTGAAAGTGCCTGCAAGAATTTATGCACAACAGAGCCTTGTTTGCCCACTTATTCTGGGCTTCAACCATATCTTGGGACAGGATGTCTCCATTTCCCAGAAAGACAGCATGTTTCCATAGTTAGAGCCTGGGTAAGCAGGAATTTCAGTTCCCTTCTGCCTCCAAAGCTTACTCCTAAGCCCCAGAGCACCAGATTCTCTGATCTTCTTCAGGAATCCAGGGGCCTACACAGCTCCACAACTTACCTGCCGTATGTTTTTACTTTCCAGGACACATCCTGAGCCAAATCACTTTGATGGGGTGGAGGAGGGTGGCCTGCTATGTAGAGGGACACTGAGGAAGAAAGGAAAATGGGAAAGGGAGGGTAGTTTATTGGAAGAAGCTCGGTCCACAGCAAGGGCATCAGAAGAGTGACGGGGATACTCTTCTGGGGGAGAATAGTTTTGGATCAGGCACATGCAAAACAATACTGTGATGACAAGTCCCTATGTGAATCTAATACCTTCATTTTCTCCTTCAGTGGGAGTGGGGGTGGGGATGGGAATGAAGAGTTGGAACAAATAATAGTGGTTGATACTTGTTGAGAAATTAACATGTGCCCTGTATGTGCTATGTCCTTTATGTAAATCATGTCACTGAATCTTTGCAGCTTCCTCGGGAGAAAGCTACTATTATAAGCATCCTTATTAAAATTTTTTTTAAATGTGTATTTGTTTTTGAAAGAGAGAGAGCGGGGGTGGGGGGAGAGAGAGAGAGAGAGAGAGAGAGAGAGAGAGAGAGAGAATGTGAGCGGGGGAGGGGCAGAAAGAGGGAGACA